GAAGGGGACGTAGGAGAATTCAACAGTCTTTATTTACCACATGGAACACACACGTAGTAACGAGGATTGACGTTCGAGGCAGCACAGCGAACTCAAAACAGGAAACACTATAAATACACAGGACTTGACGAGAAACACCTGGGATCAATAAACATAATTGCACATGAGGGAAAACGGGTCATGGAAAGCACGTGGGGAGCAAAACACAAAACACGGAACAGAGTCTGACAGGATAACGCGGAGCCATGTAGTTAATATCAGTAATACGCAGCATGCACGATACAAGGAAATGGTCAGTAACATCATCACTTTGAGGTACGATATCTATATCAGTAAGATCAATTCCATGCGATATAATTAAATCTAGCGTATGATTAAAACGATGAGTGGGCCCGGTGACGTTTTGCTTGACTCCAAAAGAGTTTATTAGGTCAGTAAACGCAAGTCCTAATGCATCATTTGTATTATCAACGTGAATGTTAAAATCTCCGACAATTAGCGCTTTATCAACAGTAACCAATAGGTCTGAGAGGAAATCTGCAAATTCTTTTAGGAAATCTGTATATGGCCCTGGTGGTCTATACACAGTAGCCAGAGCAAGAGATACGATAGATTTCTTTTGCATATCTGACAGTGTAACATTAAGCATTAGTATTTTGAATGAGTTAAACCTGTATCCTGTCTTCTGAGTAACATTGAGAATGTCACTATATATTGTTGCAACACCGCCGCCACGACCAGTCTGACGGGGCTCATGCTTATAACAGTAGCTTGGTGGAGTAGACTCATTTAGACCAATATAATCGTTTGGTTTGAGCCAGGTTTCAGTCAAGCAGAGTACATCAAAACTATTATCTGTGATCATTTCATTTACAATAATTGCTTTGGGTGCGAGTGATCTAATGTTTAGGAGCCCAAACTTTAAAAAAAAAATTTTTTCATTTATTTTGCATTTTTTTCTGGTTTAATCACGATCAGATTTTTTCTAGATCCTGCATTAAATTTATATTTTGACCTCACTATTCGGGGAACAGACACAGTCTTTATAGATTGGACAGTGCAGTCATTTAAGTGGGTAGAACAAAAGCCATCATGCAAGTTATTTGAGAATTGGCTTACTAGTCATATGGAGCATAGTGTCCTGGAGATGTTGTCCAACAGGAGTTCCGCTCCGACTCTGCTGGGGTGAAGGCCATCAGCGCGAAAAAGCCTAGGACGCTCCCAGAAAAGATTCCAATTATTAACAAAGAGCAGTTTCTGTTCCTTACACCATGACAATAACCATTCATTTAAAGCAAAAAGTCTACTGAACCTTTCGTGTCCTCGTCGATACGTGGGAAGCGGTCCTGACACGATGATCGTCGTCGCGGGCAATGTGCTGCGTACCGTCTCGATCAGGCTCCTGAAGTCCCTCTTCAGTGTTTACGTCTGCCGCAGCTTAGTGTCGTTAACCCCCGCGTGAAACACGACCGCGCCGCTGCTCTTGTCGCCATTCAGGATCGCGGGTATCTGCGCAGAAACATCGAGAACACGAGCACCAGGGAAACAGTGAGTGTGCACTTTAGCTTCAGCTAACATAGCACGGACGTGCCGGACGATGGAGTCTCCGACGTTCACAGCGTCGCGTTCCGTCTCGCGGAGGGGAGTGAAGTGGTTCCGGACCAGAAGACCGGAGGCGGCGGAGGGGGAGAGGTCGTCGCCCGGGGCTGGCTCGCGTCTTCCGCTGCGGGTGCACCCAGGGTCCATGGTGTCCCGACGCCAGCGTGAAGGACGTCTGGGAAGATCGCATCCTGGGTGCACCGGGCCTGTGCAGAGAAACACATACAATAACTGCTTTGGGTGAGAGTGATCTAATGTTTAGGAGCCCAAACTTTAAAAATTGTTTTTGTTCATTTATTTTACATTTTTCTGGTTTAATCACGATCAGATTTTTTCTAGATCCTGCATTAAATTTATATTTTGACCTCACTATTCGGGGAACAGACACAGTCTTTATAGATTGGACAGCACAAGTATTTCTATCATTTAAGCGGGTAGAACACAAGTCATCAGGGCAGTTATTTGAGATTTGACTTACTAGTCATATGGAGCGTAGCTTCCTGGAGATGTTGTCCGACATGAGTTCCGCTCCGACTCTGCTGGGGTGCAGACCATCAGAGCGAAAAAGCCTAGGACGCTCCCAGAAAAGATTCCAATTATTAACAAAGAGCAGTTTCTGTTCTTTACACCATGACAATAACCATTCGTTTAAAGCAAAAAGTCTACTGAACCTTTCTTGTCCTCTGCGATACGTGGGAAGCAGTCCTGACAAGAGGATCATCGTCGCGGGCGATGTGCTGCGTACCGTCTCGATCAGGCTCCTGAAGTCCCTCTTCAGTCTCTCCGTCTGCCGCAGCTTGGTGTCGTTAACCCCCGCGTGAAGCACGACCGCTCCGGTGCTCTCATCGCCCTTCAGGATCGCGGGTATCTGCGCAGAAACATAGAGAACACGAGCACCAGGGAAACAGTGAGTGTGCACTTTACCTTCAGCTAACGTAGCACGGACGTGCCGGACGATGGAGTCTCCGATGATCACAGCGTCGCGTTCCGTCTCGCGGAGGGGAGCGAAGCGGTTCCGGGTGGAGATCTCGAAGACCGGAGGCGGCGGAGGGGGAGAGGTCGTCGCCCAAGGCCTGGTTTGCGTCTTTCACTGCGGGTGCACCCAGGGTCCGTGGTGTCCCGGCGCCGGAGTGAAGGACATCTGGGAAGATCGCGTCCTGGGTGCACCGGGCCTGTGCAGAGAAACACACGGAGTAGAGGTGGTGGGAGAGTTAGCAGCGGGCTGTATACTTACCTCGGACTTGTGAGCGTCAGCCTGGGATGTTTCCAGCGCGGCTCTCCGCTCTCTCAGCTGGGTCTGCCTCTCCACCAGGTCGCGTATCTGCTTCTCCACGGCCTCCAGCTTGAGCTGCACCGAATGCAGCTCGAACGTGTCCTCACCTGCACTCAAAGGTAGACACACATCCCCAATTAATGCAAGTAACAGTGAGTAAAACAATGGTAATGTGTGTGAATAGAGTATTAGCAATGTAAGCGAGATTAGCGGCAACCACGCTGGCGATGATAACGGGCTATAAGCTGATAGCAGACTCGGGAAATCAAAATAAAACTAGTGATAACAAGGTGCTCTGATGGTTTTTGTTGTAGAATACGATAGGGGATATATTTACACGTTATAAAAACGGAAATGATGGTGTATAAAACTCAAAACATGCGGTAGCAACAAACAGGAAGTGACGTGCTAAAACACATCAGATAGATAGATAGATAGATAGACTTTTTACATTATTCTAATTTTTTTTTTACAGTATACTGTCTATCTATCTAATAATGTAAAAATATAAAACTGTAAAAATATAAAATAATGTGAAAATATTTTATATTACATTTTTGGATAGATAGATAGATAGATAGATAGATAGAATGATTGAATGATTGATTGATTGATTGAATGATTAATTATTGGAAGTAATTTGTGTAAATTTACTTTAAAACAGGTCAAATTCGTAATTTTATTTGTTAATAAATTGTTTAATGTGTGTGATGGAATATCATAGATATCCCACATATTTTACAACCTAACCCCTGCATTATTAACATCACCAGCCTCAGGCCCAAGCGTGCGCGCGCCCGTGTGTTTGTAGCTCCATCTACTGGAGAGGATCTATATATGTCTCATTTCCAAGGTGTGACCTGGATCTGCACCTCTGCCACAATTATATCACATTAACACTTTACAGACGCCAACAGCTCTAGACTGCGCGACTTCTACGGCTCCGCTGAGCGCGGGAAGCTCTAGATGACGATCCGAGCATTGGAGGGGGTTCAAGAGAAAGCCTGTCTGTTACTAGGCAACCGTTATGAAGTCACAGAGCGGTTCTAGAACACATAATCACCGCTACAGATCCTGTTTCCAGCATATTCTCCTGTAGTAAATTACATAATTTGTTTGTGTACAAATCAGGCGGAAACCAAAATGTCTCTTTATCTTTGGCTGAAGGAGCGTGGGATGTGAAATATGCATATTATTTTTCAGTCGAACCACACCATCAGCTCGTCAGTTTGAAATGGATGCATTCTGATGGATTTAAAGCTCATGTCAGATTTGAAAGTTGTTGTTGAACCCTCTAAATATAATATCATAACTGTTATAGTTTTTTTTTAACATAAACCATATGTTTTTTGATCATGTAGCATACCTCAGCTGGTACTGTACACCGTCCATCTAAAGTTCCCTCATCAGCAAAAATCATATCAACACCCCTGAACGCTTAAAATGATTGACAGGCGTAACGTTAGAGCGTTTCTAACTGACTAAGCGCAGGCCGCTCCCTACTTTATTTATTTATTTATTTATTTATTTATTTATTAAACCTTAAGAGAAAGGCGTCAGACAACTTCTTTTAGTGACATCTGACAGGTAGTTAATGTGCATTTTATGTGTACTAAATATTTATATTATATAATTTGCTACCGTTTGTCCAATAAAATAGTATTTTTTACAATCGGTTCCATTCCCTTATTTAAATAGGCCTACCAACTTTATATAGTTGTTTAATTATTTAGTCGGAATTATTGCTACAGTTTTCATTTATTTGTCTAATAAAATTAGTAAAACAAATGTATAAAGTAATATTAACATTAACACATATGGACTGTCTGAAATAAGGAATTGACTCGTGCGAGTATTTCCAAACTGAGCTCTGACAGTGGAACGTACCAAAACCGAGAGGAAGAGGGGTGTCGAACTATCTGTTTTCCACATTTATTCTTAATGTTTCTTACTAAATTTCTATTCATTCATTTTTACTGAATAACTTATTTTAAAATAATCAACTTCACATATATATATCGCCAAGTATTTAAAATAAGTGCGCGATTTGTCTCGGAGCTGACCAGTTTCCCCCTGCCAACGCTGTAAATCAGTGTAAACTAACAGTGAACGCTCTCGAGGTGTGAGGAACTGAAAACGGCTCTTCGCGCGGCCCGATAAAAAGCCACTGCATCCAGTTGTATAACAAATAGACAAACGTTTCCGCGTGTGTATTTACTCGGTAATGTCGGCAGCAACATCTGTGGAAACGGAACGGGCTACTGGCATATGCTGTCGTCTTATGATAAGGTAATTTTGAATGCATATCATTAAATCTTGTATGACAGTTAAATGCATGCTGATTACATCTCTCAACAGCACAAAGGAATAAAAATGCGGTTTCTATATATTAAACGTGCGTTTATTATGATAACTGGTTGTTTTATGTAGATATGCATGTTTTACCAGTTGAATCGTGCGTTTATGCATTATGCATGAACATATTAAGTGATCTTTTTGGTGAATTGCAATATCAAGCACACGCAAATCACACAAATCTCAAAATGCAAAAGACACTGTTTCCTTTTTGCCAGGAAGATGCGTTCTTTGCAATGCAGCTGCATGTAATGGAGAACATAGATATGCACGTACCAGAGATAAAGCTTGAAAAATGGGTAATGCATTAGGCAACCCGTACAGAACGATCAAGGTGGGTGTATTGATATGCGCCTGCTGAAGCCTTGATAATATATTTTTGCATGAGCAAATAGGCCTAGCCTATATACAGTTAAATTATAGTAGAAAAGAAACTGTACAGTTGTTTGATGGAAAGTAGCTACAGTATGTGATGACATGGCTGTTTTTACTAGTAGAAAGCCGATTAATCGATCGATTTTGAGAGAGGCGGGGCATAGAGGACCTACAATAATGTACAGTATTTGAAAAATAATGTGTTTTTTGAACATTAAAGCATGTCAACATATTCTGTTACACCAAATACACCAAATAATGATCTTTAAAAAAGCATCATATGACCCCTTTAACTAATCAAATTTAGCGATAACTGTGCCCGATTTACGCTTAGCGTCCATTATGAGATATTCAAATACTTATGTTTTGTTTTCAGTTAATTTTAGTGTGCAATTGTTGTGAAAACTATTTACTCAAATATTTTAAAAATCTATCTATCTATCTATCTATCTACACACATGCACACACAAGTAAATCAAATTTATCTTAAGTAAATAATTATTTTTTTTAAATGATCCTATGTAAAAGCCTATGTAAAAAGGATCAAATTAATACTCATATTTTATTTTCAGTTAAATATACGTGAACAGCTATTGTGAAAATTTACTCAAATATTCAAATACTCACGTTTTGTTTTCAGTTAATCTTAGTGAGCAATTGTTGTGAAAATGTTTCATAAAAATGTTCAACAAACTATATACAATTAAGTAAATTAATTTTACGTTTATCTTTTAAGTGAGTATTTAATTAAATATTTGTAAAAAAAATAATTGAATTGCGCAATTTTATATACATCTTAATTGCCGACATATAATGTTAATATTTATTTGCAACACTAATAGCTAATTTTTTGTAAATTTTTATACTGTGGTATACACTGAAAAACAAAATTGAGGTAGAAATAATTTTTACTCTAAGAACTGCTAATAAATTTCACAAACAATTACAAAGAAACGTCAAGTAATACAATGCAATAAACAACATTTTGAAGTAGTTTTATTTAAAACTTGAAAATATATATTTTTTTGCAGTGTACATCCTATTTTCAGACATAGTTGTAATATTTATATCGGCAATAATATCGTTCAACCACAATTTTTCGCAACACAAATAGACAATTTGTCGCACGTTTAGACTGTGGTATACAGTGAAAAAAACTGGTGTAGAAACACTTTTAACCCAGAAATTACCAAGAAATGGCAAGTAACACATCGAATTAAATCTAAAATTTTAAAGTAGAAAGACTGAAATTGTATTTTCTTGTAAAACATTCTCCAATAATCTCAAATTCAGCAAGTCATGTATGAAATCACGGACTTTAACTGTACACATTATCTAGAATTTCCTATAAAATGAATCATAAATGGCCTGATTTAGATCCAGGTGTTTTTGAGATCCCTAAAAAGTGGAGTCATATTCCTGATGATTTCAGAAAGGAAATCCTGAACTTCCCTGTATTGTGGCTGACAGGAAGCGTGTAATACTGACATCTGACATCAGGGCTAAAGGTCCAGCACTTCAGGGTGTTGAATCCTAACAGAAGAGCTCGTGTTTGTCGGGCTCTGTATTTTGGAAGTCTTTGACGTAATTTTATTCGTCCAGTTTTAGCTCAATCTGTCAGAGTGTTTCTTGTTGTTGGCAGTTTGGAGCTGAGATCACACTGCAGAATCACAGCGTGGCAATCCAAGTGTCTGGTCTAGACCGTATTTCCTGTGTGTGATGTTCTTGTTGGATGTCTGGGACAAGCCTCGCTTTGCACACTGCTTCTTTATGCCAATGTAGAGTCCGTTTGTGACATTTCGGACATTAAAAGTCTGTTTTTTTTCTTCTTAAAGGAGCAGCTCACTCAAAAATGAAAGTTCTGTCAGCTTTTATTCACTCTCATGTTGTTCTAAACTCACTTTGCTTCTTTTGCGAAACACAAACAAACAGAGATGTTTCGAAGAATGTTCTGGTTCTTTTGTGTCCGGTTTTTTTGTTTTCAGTGAATCAGTGTACAAAACATGAATGATTCGTTTGTGAATCATACTTTTCCTGTTTTTGGGTTCAACTCACTGACTCAGTGTTTTCCTATGATATTATTCTGTATGAACCAGAATACTCAGAAGGAAATAATATGATTATATTTACCGGGATTGGATTGAATTGGGAAAATTAAAACATGTTAAAGGGGTCATATGATGCAATTTCAATTTTTCCTTTCTCTTTGGAGTGTTACAAGCTCTTGGTGCATAAAGAAGATCTGTAAAGTTGCAAAGACTAAAGTCTCAAATCCAAAGAGATATTCTTTATAAAAGTTACGAGTCAACCACGCCTACCTAAAACAGCTTGTTCTAACACGCCCCCACATGTCTACGTCACGATGTGGGAAGATTTGCATAACGCCGCCCAAATGTTCACACAAAGAAAGAAGGCGTAACTTTTATTCACGTTGTAGTATTGTTGTTGCCGCCGCCATGTCGTGAAGGCGCTGTGTTTCGTTGTGAAAGACGATATCCGCTTCGTCATGCCTAGAGCTGATCCGTGCTGATAACTGAGGAAATACATCAACATCGCGCTGTGCATCGCCGGATCGGCTTTCACCGTGGAAGAAGCGGAGTCCAGCCCGGGGTCGTCAAATGTGGTTGCCACTCCTTCGTCGTTCTCGACCCCGCCGCCTCTGCTCACTCTAGCCCGGCCTCAGCTCACGCTAAGCCGGGGCTTCCCCTCCCGCTAGGCCGCTGTGTTTTTCGTTGTGAAAGCGAAACTACTTTGTTTGGTCTTCCAAAAATGGACACGACTAGAAATCAGTGGTTAAGTTGTATTTACAACACTGTTCCAGAACACTTCAACCCAAATAATCAGATGTGTGCAGCACATTTTATGGAGGACTGTTTCCTGATCCTGGGAGAGTAGACTACAATGCCGGCTGTTCTGACTCAAAGACTGTAAGTACGTTTTTTATAGTTAAAGAGTTTTTATATTTTTTATACTT